ACCACACAACTATATATATATATATATTAGTGTGTGTGTTGTATTATATATATATTATAGTAAGTAATAAATAATATAGTCTAATAATTAAATTTAGTAATATTTATATATATATATATATATATATATATATGGCAAGACATCAATAGCCTAGCTAGTGCATGACATAGGCACTCAATAGTAGTAGTAAGATATTAATACCCTAGTCAGTGCCTCAGGGTTAGGATATATTAGAACTTAAGAACAAACACTAGTGGCACACAACCACCTCCTGTTACGCGAAAATGTTGAACTTAGGCGTCAACTAGCCACAATAAATGCGGCAAGTAAGCGAACGTGTGTGTGCCCCAAACGCAGTACAAACTAAGACGATCAACATGTGCTTGCATTACAGATGGCTATACGTGTCAAAACGTTTAAAGGCGGAAGAATAAACGTTACGGATGTTCTCACATTACGGTTCAATCTGGATTTACGGTCAGTGTGGAGCAAGTAGGCCCACACTGTACATACCAGATATGTACTGACTGACAGAGACAACGCCTAGTATACGCAACGTACGGAATGATTCCTAGTAGATCACACGCACGGGAGTAGATCAAAAGACATCCATGACGCAGCCCCTTGTGAGCGTGGGTGGCTAGGAAACACACGGGCTATACGTCACACCACCAGACACCAGCATACTTGACGACCGACCTTGCAACCATGCATCGCCGAACAAACTAACCCACTAAAAGCACATACGATATAATATCCAGCGAGTTCCACCCGGCCACACTCACGCCCGTGAAGATGGCCGACATCAGCACTATAGACTCAGAGGTACGCACAAAGGGAATGAACACCGCAGCAACCCCACTCAATCCCATGGACACAGCAAGTGTAGGGCCTACAGAAGGAAGTGGGTGAGAGATGGCTTTGAGTGCCATGTGAATGATACACCATCCCATGGACACAGCAAGTGTAGGGCCTACAGAAGAAAGTGGGTGAGAGATGGCTATGAGTGCCATGTAATGGTAGACATAGAATGAACCTACGTAAGTACTATAGACATGGGACCTACGCAAGTACTTTGTGATGGTAGACATGGACATGCTTAAGCGGATGAAGGAGACTACTATGGGTGTCATGATACAGTGGAAGTGGGCAGTGACTAAATCTGTAGAGACCCACTGACAACGTATACGCGAGTGATTGTGCCATAGCGATGAGAAAAGGGCTCTATGCGCTGCTCACCAATCTCTACAGCCAAGTAGCCTAGGTACTCGCATGGTAACATATATCAGCACAATAAGAAGAAACATGTACACACACGGTCCCAAAGGAAACATATGAACACACCATATAGACAATGGCCCACTGTCTCAACACTCGCATGGTAACAAACATAAGCACAATCATAAGCACAATCATAAGAAACAATGTACACACACAGCCCCAAAGGAAACATACGAACACAACATATAGACAATGACCCACTGTTTGAAAGGGCACACACATACCTCGGCCTATGTAGTCCACTGTGTACGCCGACAGCACATTCGCAGGCAACTGAGCTATAGCGATGAGAAACGTGCTCTCGTAGATGCTCATGCTGCTCTCCAGCGTCCCAAAGCGGATCTTGAAGTACGCGGGAAACCAGGAGGTTAGTCCGTAGTAGCCGTAGGACAGCGTGATCCACAGCAGGCTCATATTGAGTGTGGTGCGTCGCAGAGGCTGGCGCAGCAGCTTGCGATAGAGGTGCAGCGGGTCTGTGTTCTCGGGTGGGGGTGGGGGGTGGTTGTCGTTGTCGCTGGGAGGGGGTGGGTCTGAGTAGGCTGTGGGATATACGCGAGTTGGAACGTGTCAGAGGCGGGAAGGGGGGGGAGGGGGGTTTGTGTTCAGATACTTGATATAATTTAGGGTTTTCTAAACCCTAAACCCTGAAACAGAGAGTGTGAAAACCGAAGAACTCTGTGTGGGGGTTTAAATCTGATGTGTGTGAACGAAATTGGACAGCGTGGGATGTGTGTTGTAGTCCATAGTAGATGGGTGACTGTGAAAGGTGTGGTATGACGTGCGGGTAGAGTACCATTGTACGATAAGGTTTCCTTGAGCACTGGAGAACTGTTGTAGAGTATATCTACCCCAGCAGTAGGTAGCCTATGAACACAAGTCATGCTCATGTTGGAGTGGGTGTTGTGTATGAGGATGGCGAGCGGCATATGTGCATATACCACGCATACGTTAGCGTCCTCACACATCTTGCATGGACATCTGCCATGAAACACAGTACATATATACACAGCTACCACGCATACTTTTAGCATCTTACCAATTCTTGTACAAACGTCTACCATAAAACACAGTACACATAAACATATCTACCACACATACGTTAGCATCCTCCCACATATAACACAGTACACACATACACATACACCACACATACGTCGTGTACTAAAGGAGGTGCGCCGCAAGGGAACGTCTACCAGGGGCGCAAGTTCTGAAGTGTTAACTGTGTCGTCTGTAGTGTTTTGTGTGATGGGGTCATGCCCAAAGGTGGCGTATAGTTCGCGCGGAAGGGTCTCTCCACAGTTGATCTCATGGACGACTGTGATGGGGTGGTTGTATTGGAGAGAGAAGATGCTGAGTCTCATTTGCTGCCATACGCGAGTAGTCTGATGTAATCAGCTACATACGTCATATGTATATATATATATATATACATATATATATATATATTCATATATACATATATACATATATACATATATATAAATATTAATAAAAAACGACACTTCCGCTATCATTTTATATGTATTCAATACAACGTACCACTCAATATGTCCCATGCTTCGTTGTAGCGGCCTGAGTTGTAGTAGAACAACGGCGAGTCGTAGAAGAATCCCAGGCCCATGGCTGAGAAGAACGCCGGTCCTCCGGTCAGTAGCAGAAACATGCGCCAACTCTGATAGATCGGGTGCATATGCGGATAAGAGTACACTTTGCAGACATGCGAAAGTAAGACGGAAGACGTGTGTAGGTAAAGGATAGGTTCAGCATCCTGCACTCATACCAGGTGAGACGTAAGACGTGTGTTGGTAAAATAGGTCAGGGAAGCGGACTCATACCAGGTGTGAATGGGCCAACTCTGATAGATCAGGTGCATATGCGGAGGAGATCACACATTGCAGGCATGCCAAAATGAGACGGAAGACGTGTGTTGGTAAAGGATAGGTTTGGGTTCCTGCACTCATACCAGGTGTGAGTGTGCCACATAGCAGCGGTATGGGCCGTGTGTTTGTGTGTGTAAGTGTACATGCACGTCATCTGTAGGTAAGACTGTGGGGAAACCCCAATCCCTTCAATAGGTAAAGCTGCGGGAAAACCCCAATCTCTTCAGTAGGTAAGGCTGTGAGAAATACCTAATATATTTAGTAGGAAAAGCTGTGAGAAAAACCCGATCACTTACGTACCTACTTCGGAATGGGCGCGTGGTATCTTTTCAAAATAAAAGAAATTGTGTGTCGAGTACAATCAATTCACTGATTGGTGTACTGAGTAGAAAAATGCTTATGTGTATTGTTTGATGTATATGTATACTATTTGATGGATATGTGAATATTTAATATACAACTTGATGCATATGTATACTACTTGATGTTTATGTATACTATTTATATACTACTTGATGTATATGTATACTATTTATATACTACTTGATGTATATGTATACTATTTATATACTACTTGATGTATATGTATACTATTTATATACTACTTGATGTATATGTATACTATTTATATACTACTTGATGTATATGTATACTATTTATATACTACTTGATGTATATGTATACTATTTGATATACTACTTGATGTATATGTATACTATTTGATATATACATATACTATTTGATATATATATGTATACTGTCTGATATGTTTGTATACTGTTCAATGCATATGTATGCTTATAGCATACATGGGCTTGATGAGTCATACAATGCTCTATTTATAGATGAGCCTACGCACCTGAGCCTCTGCCCTGGTTGCCAGTCCTTCCTGCCACATCAGGACACACGCTTAGCCTAGCAGTGTTGACATGTACACTACCACAATCTCAACAAGAGCGCATCCCAGTATATAAATAGAAGCCAATTAGATCGTTCAGTATATAAATAGAAGCCATTCAGATCGTCGTGCGAACATACCGTGTACTCCATGCCGTTAATTGTGAAGTAGACTCGCTCGCTCGGAATAATATACCAAGCCAGGGCAGCGACAAATATGGACCCCACCATCCAGAAGCTGTATGTGTTGTGTTTGAGTGGAATGGGCAACTTCTGTGATATATACTTAGTATAGAATATGTACATGCAGTATACTTAGAATAGAGTACATACATGCATGTAGCTAATTCAGAAGCTGTATGTGTTGTGTTTGAGTGGAGTGGGAGACTTCTGTGATATATACGTAGTATAGAGTATGTACATGGAATATACTTAGTAAAGAGTGTGGACATGCATGTAGCTAATTCCGTAGACACAATATGAACAGCACAGCATATGAGTAACTACCCTTATCCTCAACACACCCCTCCATCAACAACCCATACACTGTATCTGTGTTTCTCTTGCACATACTCTCGGTACAACACTTACGAGGCCAAGATGACGACATACTGCCCACGCTTAGCAACCGGCAAACACTCGGAGAAGAAAGTGAACACCAATGGGATGGTACCACCCACACCCACCCCGGAAAGGAACTGGAAGAGCATCAATAGGCCTACAGAAGGCGCCATCTGCAGGTGCAAATGTAAATAAAATAGACGGATGAGCGCATTATATATATATATATATATAATATATAGATAATAGTATATATATATATATATATATATATATATATATATATATAAATAATAATAATATAGTAATATATATATATATATATATATATATATATATATATATATTATTATATATATATATATA